ATCGTCATTTCAATACTGGTACACGGCGTAATAATCAGAACCAAGTATTCGAGATTTACTACGAGTTCGTTAAGAACCAGCCAAGCCAAGCGAGCGAGGGCCTGCGCACCGTCTTGGTGACAAGCAAAGGGATCTGGGCCTTCTGTTATAATGCCGTCCGTGCGAGAGAGTTGAGGGTTGAGCTTTCAGGCCGTACTCTTGAGACATTTCGAAAATACTCTTTATACATCAGGCCGTACTCCACCTTGTGGACATTGACGGGTCGCCCGTGGCGTGGCGGTCGCGCTGGGAACTCGTTCGGTTCACGTTACTCGAATCCCGTTTCTTGAATCCCGTCCCGTGGATCCCGTTATTTGAATCCCGTCCGTCCATTGGTTTTCCGCAGTTGGATATCGACGGGTCGCTCGTGGCGGGCGCGCTGGGCACTCGTTTGGCTCGCTTACTCAAACCTCGAAATGCTGTTCCTTGGATTCATAAATCCCGTCCGTCCATTGGATTTCCTCAGTTCGGCGAGGTGGACATCGACGGGTCGCTCGTGGCGGACGCGCTGGCGGGGTCGGAGGACGTGGTGGTGCTCAACAACGGCTGCCTGTGCTGCACCGTTAGAGGCGACCTCGTTAGGATGCTCAGCGATCTCATCACGACGAAGAGGGACAAGTTCGACCATATTGTCATTGAGACCACGGGTGAGTGAGCCACTAGCGCTAGCCGGTAGCCTCTAGCCGTTAGACGGTGCGCTGGCGGGGGGTGAGGGCGTGGTGGTGCTCAACAACGGGTGCCTGTGCTGCACCGTGCGGGGGGATCTAGTGCGCATGCTCAGTGATCTTATTACCACTAAGAGGGACAAGTTCGACCAGATTGTCATTGAAACAACATGTGGTGGAGGGAGGGAGTGAGTGAGGGGGTGAATGGCTGTGTGGGTGGGTGAGTGAGGGAGTGAGTGGGTGTTAAAGAATGAGAGAGAAGTAGCGGTCGGAGGATGTGCATGTGGTGGTGCTCAACAATAGATACCTGTGCTCTGCATGGTGCAGGGGAAGCCTTGTTAGAATGTTTATGGCTTTCCTTTGCACAAGCATTCTCCCCATCTTTCCCCCCTCGTCCTCCCCAGGCCTAGCCAACCCAGCGCTCATCATGCAGACGCTCTTACTGGAAGAGGAGCTGGAGGAGGGGTTACACTGAATAAGAACACTTGGTGGTTGCAGGGAGCAGCAGCGCTGTTTATCTGGGCTTTCCTGTCCTGCCCTCCCGTTCACCCTCAAACCCCCGTCCACCTTTTTTTTCTTCTTCTACGTACCGTCCCCTCTCCCCCCCTGTCCTCCCAGGCCTGGCGAACCCAGCGCCCATCATTCAGACGTTCTTCTTAAAGGAGCTGGCAGAAGGGCTGCGGACCTGGGCTTTCCTGTCCCTAACTGCAATCCTCCCTGTTTTTCTATTCCTTTCTTTCTCTTCTTTCCCAGGCCTGGCGAACCCAGCGCCCATCATTCAGACGTTCTTCCTGGAAGAAGAGCTGGAGGAGGGGCTGAGGCTGGACGGACGGAGTGGTTCCTAATGCCCCAAACCCCATGCTCCCTCTCTCCCCCCCCTGCCCCCCCAGGCCTAGCGAACCCAGCGCCCATCATTCAGACGTTCTTTTTGGAAGCGGAGCTGGCAGAGGGGCTGCGGCTGGATGGAGTGGTGACGCTGGTGGACGCCAAGCACGTCACCCGCCACCTGGACGCCGCTCCTTCCCTTCCCCACTCTTCCTTGCTTTCATGACATCCCATGACCCATTCTCCCCTCCATTTCCTTTTTTCATTTGCTTTTCTGTCCTTTTCTTTGGCTCTTCCTTCCCCTCCTCCTCCCACAGGTCTAGCCAACCCAGCGCCCATCATTCAGACGTTCTTCCTGGAAGAGGAGCTGGCGGAGGGGCTGCGGCTGGATGGAGTGGTGACTCTCGTGGACGCCAAGCACGTCACGCGCCACCTGGACGCGGCAGAGAAGGCTGCAGCAGAGGGGTCAACGGAGGTCAACGAGGCCGTGGAGCAAGTGGCTTTCGCTGACCGGCTTATTGTTAACAAGGTGAGTTGAGGAGAAGTGGTAACCCTAGTGGACGCCAAGCACGTAACCCGCCACCTGGACGCTTCGGAGAAGGCGGCAGCAGAGGGGTCAACGGAGGTCAACGAGGCCGTGGAGCAAGTGGCCGTCGCCGATAGGCTTATTGTTAACAAGGTGAGAAAAGGAAAGAAAAGAAAAGAAAAGTAAAAAGATCATGAGGGGTCAACGGAGGTCGACAAGGTCGTGCAGCAAGTGGCGTTTGCTGAGCGGCTCATTGTTAACAAAGTGAGCCGGGGAAAAAGAAAAGAAAAAAAGTCAGAGAGGCCAACCAGGCTGTAGGCAGATGGCGTTCACCTTATCGTCAACAAGGTGAGTGGGAAGAAACACTCTTTCTCTCTCCGCCACACACTCAGTTTCGTTCCCCTCTCGCTAGCTAGCTTGCTCTCCCTCTCTACCACACACATCCCTCCTTCCTCTTCTATTTTCCTCGTTGCTCCTCGTCCCCACGTGCAACTGTAACAACAGCAAACAAATAGTTGTCACTATGATCTGATTTGGTTATGCTACCATCTGGCTCGCTGTGTGTTGCAGATCGACCTTGTGACGGACAGCGAACTCAAGGATCTCGTCGAGAGGCTTCAGGTAACTAGAATTCTCTGCGCTTCAGATCCGGTACCCAATGCCCGTCATGTCATTTCTCCCTTCTTTTAGTGTGTGTGTGTTAAAGCGACGGGCAACTTTTGGCAGTGTTGGGTTCAGAAGTTTTTTTTTTTAACCAGGCTTGCCAGCGCGAAAGTGCTGGCTGGCGAAAACCAGGATTTCGTGCGGACACTTTCCATCCGCAGTAACAGTTCGCCAGGGTTCTGGGTTTTGGGTGGCAAATGTGCACCGTCGCTTTAAGTTGCACCGTCTGATCTTGTGCACATCGGAGAATCAGACGTCCTGACCTTGTTTAACTCCGTATGGGTGGCAGGATATCAACTCCATGGCTCGCATGAGCAAGGCGTCGTACGGCAAGGTGGATCTGGACTATGTGCTCGGCATTGGGGGCTTCGACCTCGAGAGGTGCGTTTCTGTGGAGTCGACTTTAAGAAAAGGTGACTCTTTGAGTCGATTCAAAACGAGGTGGCTTTTGAGTCAGCTCGTATGAGCATGGCGTTGTACTGTAAGGTGGACCTGGGCTATGTGCTCGACATTGGTGTGTTAGATGTCGAAATAACTCACGTGAGATCCATATTGCAATGATCCACCAGAAACCCCCAGCTCGAATGCTGTTATCGATACTGTATGGTCGTCCCGTCCCTTCATTCTTTCTTTTCTTTCTTTTTGTAGGATTGAGAGGGACGTGCAACCTCACATTCTGAATGAGGGAGCATCCCATGACCACCACCACCACCACCACCACAACGAGCACGATCACGACCATGACCATGAGCATGAGCACTGTGGGACATGCGGTGGCGATCACTCCACAGAGGAGCACGGGCACGACCACCACCACCATCATGACCATGACCACGGCCACAGCCACAGCCACTGTAAGTGTCTCACTCTTGAACCGTACAGGAAGCTTTGGTGGGAGAAAGCGAGTGCTTTGAGCTTCAGAGATATACAGGAAGCCCCATTGTATTGGTGTGAGAAAGCACTCTGACAGGTTCTTGTCTGTGCATCCCTGCTGTGTGTATTCCTCCTTGCCTCCTCGCCTCCTTGCCTTCCTTTTTTTTCCAGCCCATGCGAAGCACGCAACAGGTGTCTCATCAGTCAGCATTCAGTGTGAAGGCAACCTCGACCTAGAGAAGGTATACTGCACTTCATCGCGTCCTTCATTGCCATTTCTTGGTTCTTTTCTTAATCGCTTTACTTCCTTCACCAAGCCATTGTTTTCCAGGCTGTGCTGTGTACGGTATTATTGCCTTTTTTTTCACCTGTTTTTAAATATATGGCTCGGTTTTGCATTGATTATATGTGCACCATTCTCTCCATGTGGCTTGCCTTTGCAATGCAGATTAACGACTGGTTGGGAGATTTGCTTGCGGAGAAGAGTGATGACATCTATCGCATGAAGGGTGTCCTGTCCATTCACAAGTGCCGGGAACGATTTGTCTTCCAGGTAAGTCTACCACACACTTAGTTGTCCAACCTTCTCTAATCTTGGACTTTACCTTGGCAACTTACCTGAAACACCATCTTCTTGTGCGCGGTGGTCTTGTTGCAGGGCGTGCATGCTCTTTTCGAGGGTTCTCCAGACAAGCCATGGGGTCCGGATGAGAAGCGCTCCAACAGAATTGTCTTTATTGGCCGTAACCTGAATGAGGCAGAACTTAATGAAGGGTTCAGGAGCTGCCTTCAAGCTTAGGAGTATATACCATGCTGGTGCTGCTTTGTACCCACAATGGTAGTTGCCTTGAAACTGTCTCACTTTACTACAGTAGCAGAGGGTGTAATTATTCAAACATTTAACATAGGTTTTCTCTTTCTGATCGAAGGTGCAAATGTCACATCCAGTTTTACAGCACCGGTTCTGTGGGCTATGCATCAGATTGCTCCCTGCTTGAGCATGTACACCATTTTCTTGCAGTACAGGTTATACCGGTACATTTCACACGCCCTTGTATCGTGGTTCAATACGGTCCAACACGGTGAAAAGCGTTTCTCGACGATTACCACTCACCGTATTGAAACGAAATTTACCGGAGACGGCGTACACAAAGTTGTACAACCTGACGTCGCCCTAATGCACCACTTCTGTAACCAGCCTGTCCAGTAATACGGTAGTATCCATGGAATTTTCGATCAGTAGAATGGTAGTACCGTAGTAATCTGAATGGGAGTAACAAGCATGCATCATCTTGGCTTACTACAAGCTTGAAGCAGACTAATAGCTGCAGCAACAGCTGAGCCATGTTATTTTGTCATGGTGCAGCCACTGGCGATAAAATTGACTTCAGAGGTTTTCACATTGTTTGTCATATGAGAGAAGGGTATTGCTTTGCCTGCTCCTTGACCCTCTTTTTGTACTCCACCGTGTCCTGAAAGAAAATCACCCAGCACAATCAAATCAGGTGTCAAAAGCAGCCATGCACATCATGCAAACACATGATGTAGCTGAAGAAATTTACGAACCTGCGTGAAGAGCTGGTAAGCATCAGTTTGAGCTGGATCGGCAGGGTTTGGCTGGTCAAGCAACTCTTGAATACCAACTAGAATTTGCTTCACAGAAATAGCTGGTCTCCAGCCCTGAAGATGGAGAACAGAGACGCGGAAGAAAGAACGAATAAGAGATATTGAAAGAGGCAGGTAGCGGGGGAGGGGAGAAACGGAAAGAAAGTGGAGGAACGGGAGAAGAGAAGAAGGAAAAAAAAGGTTTGCACGGACACAAGCGGCGCTGAACGAGAAGCACCGTGCGACTGCAAGAGATACTGACATAGTCTTCGTTGAGAATGCTGAGGCACACCGTGCCTGACGGATAGACGTTGGGATGAAAGAAGCCTGGAGGGAACTTGCACTTTGGCGGTTTCGATGGGTAGTCTTCCGTAAAGTGTATCGTCAGCGGATAATGACCACCTTCCCAGTCAGTCTGCAATAAGGCGAGTGTTAGATAGATACTACGGGAGCATAACAGAAACAGAAAGAGCTATTCGAAAGCTACTCACGTCCTTCTTTCCAGGTATTACGCATTTCCATGTCATCATGTCTGTCGAGCCGTCATCTTTTGCCTCTGGTCTGGCGACAAATCCCTGCACGGTGTGACAATAGTCCACGTGTCATCCTACGTAAACGCTCAAAACCGCAGCTTGCGAGCATCAAGTCACTCACGACTCACGTGCGGATGGTTCTTCCGCCAAGCTTTTCGTTCTTCCGTCAGCCTACCCAAAGAGATCCCCGTCATGGAGTGGAAGTACGGCAAATTGAAATCAGGCCAGCGAGTATCAAAATAAGGCGGTCGTTCAACGTCCAACGGTTCCTAGTACCACGCTATTTAGAGGAGCGCTGACAGATTCGGGACTGGACGGGACTACAGCTTTCTGTTGGTCGCAGTGATCCAGAGGGGTCTGACACCTGGAGAACTGAAGCGGGAAGAAAAAGAACCTGACTCAATACACGCAGTTCGCTTCTTTGCTGGGACGATAAGACACGTTAGGAAAAAAACATGGCTTCAAAATGCGATCATAATCCTTAACATAGTTTTACAAACAAAATTCTTCATCACTAGTACCATATCATATACTTCAGGCCTCGGTGCCACAAGTGACAAACCACAGAACTTTTGAACTCTGCAAGATTTATTTGAGACAATCATCGTACACTTTGAGCTTAGGCTCAAAGGGTTGTCAGCACAACACATAAACCTGACATCTAGGGAACGGAACAAGAAATTGCTCAGATGTTGCAGCAACAAACCACACCATTACTCGTCTACAGCACCACCATCAACGCCATCTGGAAATGTGACACATTTGTACACTTTACACTTCTGGCAGAGCGTCATCCCCAGCTGCACAAACCAAGAAGAAAATTTAAAGGAGCGGGAGAGAGGATGCAAAATGGTAGAACACACAAGCTGCATGGAAGAGAATGTTCGCAGGTGCAGTGCGAATTGTTGAAAGGACAGAAAACTGGGTGCTGCTAGGCCTGTGTGTAGAAGCGGCAGAAGCTTACCATACACAAAAACATGCATGCAGTCACACACACTTGAGTCAACTCAAAGCGAGGTGACTACAGGGTCTGGCTCATAACTCACTGTTTGTTAACGCGGGCCAAGAGGACCATACACACGTACATGCATGCAGTCACACATCGACTAGCATGCAAAGGCATGCACATATACACACACGTCCCCTCATCTCTCTGCTGCCATCCCTTCCTCCCCTTTACCCACCAAACCCTCCAAACCACACACAACCACACGGACTCACGGCGTAGCAGCCAGGGCAGCGGCGGAAGAGGCGTTTGTTGACCTTCACGTTGACCCGCTCCCCCTGGCACACCTCGCACTGCAGCCAGCCCTGGCCGCTGCAGTCCGGGCATGGAATAGTGGAGCTGGAGAGAACAGCCTGGGAAGCAGCAGGCGTTGGGAGTAAAGAGGCAGAGGGATAAGGCAAGGGAGGATGCGGTGTTTGTTGACTTCACTGTGTGACCCTCACGTTCACCCGCTGCCCCTCGCACACACACCTCGCACTGCAGCCAGCCAGCCAGCCAGCCAGCCAGCCAGCACTGGCCGCTGCAGTCCGGGCATGGAATAGTGAGGCTGGGGAGAACAGCCTGGGAAGCACCAGGCGTTGGGAGTAAAGGGGGGGAGGGATAAGGCAAGAAACAAAGAGGCGTTTGCTAATTTCATTGTGACTGCACGTTGACCCGCTGCTCCTGGCACACCTCGCACTGCCGCCAGCCCTGGCCGCTGCAGTCCGGGCATGGGATGGACGGGCTGGGGAGAAGCGCCTGGGCGACAGCAGGCGCTGGGAATCAGAAGGGGGAAGAGAGAACAGGAGGAGGGCACAGGGAATGGTAGGGCTTTGGGGTGGAGACTGAGGATGGGGAAGGGAGGAACAGGTGAGCTGGAAGGGATGCCTCGGTAAGCAACAACCATCAGCGACGTGTGCTTCTGGCAATGCAGCAAAACTGGCGTTGGAAGTGTACAATTGGACTTTATATGAAGTGTACATGTATTGGTGGTCCATAGACCGTGTAACATAACGTGGTGGTGGTTAATGGTGGTGGTGAAGCATGATCTCGTGCTTCCAGGGTCAACGGAGTCAACGGCGGCGATGCAACAAATGCATCAGACGCACGAAACCTTGGGGCGCGCGCCTCAAAACTTTAAGCAGGTGAATCGGGAATCGGGAATGCACTAACCTCTGAGGTAGACGATGACGATGACGACGCGGCCAGTACGACGTTTCGCGTGGAATCAGCTACTGGAAATGTGGAAGATGGTCGTCGGAGAGAGGAGGACCGGCGGCGTAACCGTCCTTGGAGGGTATTGGTTGACGTAACGAGCTTGTGACCAGAGAGCGGTTGGGAAGCTCCTGATGCGGATCGGACAGCCGTTCTGTGTGCAGCAGCGCAACCTACGGCGGCTGGGACGGCGGAATGCGGAGCGAGAAGAGAGGTCATGGTTGACGGGTGACCAGTTCAGGCGAATCGAGACTAAACGAGGGCGATGAGACGAAACAGCCGCGAAGAGACTAAACCGTAGCGAGCGACGAGCCAGAACGCGAGCTCGGGAAAATTGAATGGCACGATAGCGACGCCAGCCTCCGAGGCCACGTCGAGCCTCTTTTCCCGCCAAATCCGCGTCCTCCGCACCACCTCGTAAGCCAGCAACTAACTAAACACACACCGCCTGCTAAATGGCAGCAGGAGGAAACGTGGAGTGTTCCTCCTATTATGCTTCATTGGACACCAACTTGCGGCGACTACTATAAGGCGATGATATTGTACAACTGTAGGAAAAGCCTACTTATATCATTTGGTCCCAATTTGTAAAACGCGTACCCCGTCACTTGTGCTCCACCAACCCGACGTGTCCGTAGCCGCTGATTGGCGTTCGCAACCCACGAGCGTAACGACGAGCCTACTGTCTGTCCGCTGGCTTCCCTTCCGTACTGCTGACTGCTGGCAGCGTCGCTGCGTCCAGTCACCTCACCAGTCATGTGATGTGAGCATGGGGGGGAAGTGGGAGAGTGGGAATGAGAAGGGAGTGGGTGAGGGGGTGAGGGGGTGAGGGGGTGAGGGGGTGAGGGGCTGTGAGCGAGTGAGAATGTGAATGGGACGGGGGAATAGGGTGAGATAGCTCGGGGTGAGCTGAGCACGAGCCTCGGTGCAACTGGAAAAGGGAGTGTGCGGTGTCTGTGTCTCGGTGTGTGAATTTTGTCTTATTGTCGTGGGTGTGTGTGTGGATGGAGCGTTACCTGCCAGTAACCAACCGAGCCCGCTTCAGTCCGCTCCACACGGAAATACCTTTTTAGGGCACAACTTGCTTAGCAACTCGGTGAACCGTACATAATATTTTAGGTTACGGACGGCCGCCGGATAACCTACGCGAATGGAGCTCATATCTGGAAGCCGGAAATTAGTCAGAACCAGAAATATTTCATGCGTGACGTTATTAGAAGTTATTCACGAATAAGTGAGGACTTCGGTGTAAAACGCGAGGGACATTGGCACTGTAATGGAATGGATGTCATCAACGGCAGCTGGAAGCTAGTCAGGTCAATCAGCCGCATCGGACGGACCAGAGGACGAGGTAATGACATCAACGGCTAGCCATCGTTCTCCTAAGAAACAGTTTCTCCTCGCTCGTCCCGTGAACCGTCAAAGTCGCATCCAGTTTAGGCTCGAATAAACCGTTGAGGAGTCGACTTGAATGTTGTATACTAATAGTAGACACTAATCGGCTGCTAACAGCCGGCCATCTCGTTTCAAATGAGCCGGGTTTCCATGCACCGTGTATCAATAGACAAGGTGTCAACACACCGACTATCCCTCGTTCCGTAAACGTCCACAACCCCTCGTGCTCCACGTAACGATACTAGCTACTTTCTACTATGAACCCACTGAACAGGTCTAATCATGAACAGGTATCATCTCGTAGCTCACCTTGTAACCGTGCCTATTCTCAGTATCGCTTTTTGTGCTCGTCGCGTCACCAAAACCCCCTCCACTAACTCACCGCGTCGTGTAACTCCCCCTCCTCGTGCCAACTGTCCCCGCCGGGTCATCTGCGCGTCATCTGCGCTTCCCCTCCCCTCCTCCCCAACTCGTCCCCTCAATCCACCCACATGACGACTTGGTAATTGACATAGGCGCGGGCGCGAGAAAGTAGTTTCCCCCTGAAACATTCCCAACGAAACTTCCCCCCTCTCCCCTCTCCCCCGCCTCTCTCCCCTCCCCCTCCTCCTCCTTCCCCGCTCCCCCCTTCCCCGCGCTTCCCCCGCAATCCCCGCAGATGACGAGCGGGAGATTGAGATAGGCGCGCCAACCGGCGTGAGCCACGTGACGCACGTCACCTTCGACCGCTTCCAGGGCTTCCTCGGCCTCCCGGATGACTTTCACGGCGAGCTGCCGGCACGAGCCCCCAGCGCCAGGTAGGGGGATTCAGAGAGCTATTCAGGGAGATTGCACGCCAAGGGCATATGAAGTTGCTGTTAGGGTCTCTTGGGTCTCCTGAGCTTCCAGGGCTTCCTCGGCCTCCAGGACGACTTTCACGGCGAGCTGCCTGCACGAGCCCCCAGTGCAAGGTGAACATGAAGGGAGGCTCTTGGGAGTTTGCAGGTCAGGTGCATATGAAGTTGCTGTAGGTGACTTTTGAGGCGCCTCAAAAGTCTCTTGGGAGTTTGCAGGTCAGGTGCATATGAAGTTGCTGTAGGTGTTGATGGTGCACCTCTCCTCACACCCTTGCACCTCCTCCCTCTTCCCCCACCCCAACTCCACCCCCCTCCCAACGCACTCCCCCGCTGCCCGGTCAGTCGGAGTGTGTTTGGGGTGTGGCTGGAGACGCTGCAGTGCTCGCACGAAACATCCCGTCTTCCGTTTCGTGCAGATGGTGCAGCTCTCCGCATTCTCACCAACATCCCGTCTTCCGTTTCGTGCAGATGGTGCAGCTCTCCGCATTCACACCAACATCCCGTCTTCCGTTCTATTCTGTTACACACAAACCCCCATCAACCCCCCACCAGTCGGACTGTCTTTGGGGTGCGACCGGAGACACTGCAGTGTTCGCACGACTTGGAGGGCAACCAGGTGCCGGACATTCTGCTGCAGCTGCAGGCGATGCTCTACGGCAAGAACGGGCTGCAGGTGCGTGCTGTGCTGGTGCTGGTGGTGCCTGGGACGAGCCGCCTGGGCCCTTGGTTGGGTATCTGTGGTCGTTTCTGTTTCAGACAGCTGCAGCTCCAGGCGCTGCTCTACGGCATGTTGAGCGACTTGCAGGTGCATGTTGCTGCTGCTGCTGCTGCTGCTGCTGCTGCTGCTGCTGCTGCTGCTGCCTGGGGTGGGTGGGTGTGAGTGAAGCCGGCAAGCACGTGCCAGTCTGCTCCTTGATCGCCATCCTGCCTGCCAATCATCCCACCTGTCAGCTTCGCTTGCCAATACAATGTTAGGTTCTATCCCTTCCTGTCTCACCGCTCACATCCCTCAACCCTCTCCTCGCCCATCCCCAACCCTCTTCGCCCCACAACCTTCATTGGAGGGTGGCAGACGGAGGGCATATTCCGAGTGGCAGCGCAGAACGACCATGAGGACTGGATCCGAGAGCAGGTGGGCCTGACGGTGTGTGTCTGTGTCTGGGTCTGTGTCTGTGTCTGGGTCTGTGTCTGTGTCTGCGTCTGTGTCTGCGTCTGCGTCTGTGTCTGTGTCTGCGTCTGCGTCTGTGTCTGTGTCTGTGTCTGCGTCTGTGTCTGGGTCTGTGTCTGTGTCTGGGTCTGGGTCTGTGTCTGGGTCTGTGTCTGGGTCTGTGTCTGGGTCTGGGTCTGTGTCTGCGTCTGGGTCTGTGTCTGGGTCTGTGTCTGTGTCTGCGTCTGCGTCTGTGTCTGTGTCTGCGTCTGTGTCTGTGTCTGGGTCTGTGTCTGCGTCTGTGTCTGTGTCTGCGTCTGTGTCTGTGTCTGTGTCTGTGTCTGTGTCTGTCTGGTGCGAGCTGCTTCTGGTTGTGAGACACCCCAAAGCTCGAAAGTGGCAGCACAGAACGACCACGAGGATTGGATCCGAGAGCAGGTGCGTTGTCTGGCTGGCTATGTGTCGTGCCAGCTGCATTGCTTGCTGCCTGCACCCACCAGTCATCAATCATCAGGCATGGCATGGCATCGTTGTATCCTCCCCCCACCACCACGGTCGCACCACCTTCATATCATGCCCCAACTCCTGCTATGAAGGAGGTGAGGTGAAGCATGATATGAAGGCAGGGACACCGAACCTGCATCGTGTTGATGTCCATCCCTGCATCGCGTCACCTCCCTTCCATACGCTGTAACGTGTGCCGGTCATGCATGCTATACTCTCCCTCTCTTTCTCCCTCTCCCTCTCCGTGTGCTCGTTGCCTCCACCTCGCCTTGCCTCGCGCCATGCTGCAGGTCAACCTGGGTCTGGTGCCGCGCAACATCTGTCCCTGCATTTTCTCCTCTCCTTGTGCTCCCCTCACCCCCCCCCCCCCCGCCTCGCCTCACCCCATGCAGGTCAACCTGGGTCTGGTGCCGCGCAACATCGACGTGCATGCCATCGCAGGCCTCATCAAGGTACGCCCCTCTCTCCCTCCCCTCTCCTCCCCTCCCCTTCTCTCCGTCATCTTTTTCCTTTCCCCTCTTCTCCCTCACTCCCTTGCCTCCCCTCCTCTCCCTCCTCTCCTTCCGCTCCCCTCTTTTCCCTCTTCCCCATCTTCCCCTTCCTCTCCCCCTTCTCCCGCTTCTCCCACCCATCTTTCCCTCCTCTCCCTCTTCTCTCTCCTCTCCCTCCTCTCTCCCCTCTTCGGTCCCCTCCCTACCTCCTCCCCTCCTTTCCCTCCGCATTGCTGTGCCTCTCCGTTACCCCCATCCGCATCCTTATCTCCATGCCCACCCCCAGGGTGTTTTTGAGAATTCTCAAAAACACCCTGCAGCATTGCTGTGCCTCTCTTTTACCCCCATCCGCATCCTCATCTCCATTCCCACCCCCAACCCCATCCCCATCCCCTTCTTCCCGTTCTCCCCCTCCCTTCTCTTCAACTTTCCCGTTTCACCCCTCATCCAGGCGTGGTTCCGCGAGTTACCAGAGGGCCTACTGGACCGCTTGAAGCCAGAGAAGGTAGCGGCAGCAGAGAGGGAGGAGCAGATGCTGGCGCTCGTGGCCACACTGCCCGCCCTGCCTGACCTGTACCCCCACCCCCGCCCGCACCGCACCCTCCCACTCAATGCAGGCGTGGTTTAGGGAGTTACCAGAGGGTCTACTGGACCGCTTGAAGCCAGAGAAGGTGGCAGCAGCGGAGAGGGAGGAGCAGATGCTGGCACTCGTGGCCACACTGCCCGCCCTGCAGGCTGGCATGCTGGACTGGGCGGTGGGGCTCATGGCGGACGTGGTGCAGCACGAGGCGAGCAACAAGATGAACGCGCATAACATCGCTGTGGTGTTCGCTCCAAATATGACGCAGGTGTGTGGGTGCATTGGGTGGGCCGGGGTGTGGGGTTCTGGGAATGGGCAGTGGTTGGGGTGAATTTGGCGGTGGATGGGTTGGGTTGGGTTGGGTTGGGTGTAGTTCAGTCTTGAGAGCTCTCACTGCTGGACTGGGCGGTGGGGCTGATGGCGGACGTGGTGCGGCACGAGGCGAGCAACAAGATGAACGCGCATAACATCGCTGTGGTGTTCGCGCCCAACATGGCCCAGGTGGGTTGCTAGGTGCCTCAGGTGGGGTTTCAGGTAGCCCAGGTGGGTTGGCCAGATGGCCCAGGTGGGTTTTGAGGTGGCTCAAAAGGCAGCAAGAAGATGGGGAAGGGCGTCGTTTATCCTTCTTTCCTCCGTCCAACTCTGTCTCTTGCTCCTACCCTCCTCCCCTCTCCTTCCCTCCTCTCTTCCTCGTTCCCCACCCCCGGACCCCCTCCCACCCAGATCGTTGACCCCCTCCCACCCAGATCGTTGACCCCCTCCCACCCAGATCGTTGACCCCCTCCCACCCAGATCGTTGACCCCCTCCCACCCAGATCGTTGACCCCCTCCCACCCAGATCGTTGACCCCCTCCCACCCAGATCGTTGACCCCCTCCCACCCAGATCGTTGACCCCTTCCCACCCAGATCGTTGACCCCCTCCCACCCAGATCGTTGACCCCCTCCCACCCAGATCGTTGACCCTCTCATCGTCTTCCAGCACGGCAGCAAGGTGACGGACGGACCTCCTCTCAGAGCGCTTGTGCAGCGCAAGCTCAAGCACACAGCTCAAGAAGCCCTTCTTTCTGCCTTTCCCCTCCTTCCTTCTCCCTCCTTCCCCCTCCTCACTCAGATCATGGACCTCCTCAGAGCGCTTCACACTTGCCCCTTCCTCTCCTCTCCCCAACCAATCCCTCTCCCTCCCCCCACTGGCCCCCTGCTCTCCCCCCACTGCCCCCCTGCTCTCCCCCCACTGGCCCCCTGCTCTCCCCCCACTGGCCCCCTGCTCTCCCCCCACTGGCCCCCTGCTCTCCCCCCAATGGCCCCCTGCTCTCCCCCCAATGGCCCCCTGCTCTCCCCCCACTGGCCCCCTGCTCTCCCCCCACTGGCCCCCTGCTCTCCCCCCACTGGCCCCCGGCTCTGCCCCAGATCGTGGACCCGCTAATCGGCTTCCAGCATGTCATCAAGCTCATGGACCTGCTCAGAGCGCTCGTGCAACGCAAGCTCAAGCAGCGCCTCGACAACCCCCCTCTGTCCGCCGCTCCTCTCACGGACCAACCAGCACAGGACGGGGCAGAGAGGGGGGAGAGGGAGGAGGAAGGGGAGGAGGAGGAGGAGGAGGAGGGACAGGAGCGGCACGGTTCAGGCAGATATGGTGGCTTTCTCGGGAATGGTGTGCATGAAGAGAGCACAGGTCATGAGGAGGAAAGGGAGGAAGATGATGAGAGGGGGGGAGAGCCGTTATTGGATGAGTGCACAACACCTCTGGCAGGAGATGACCCTCACACGCCCATTGCCAGACCTCTTGTTCCCGAACCTCTCCTTGCCGAGCCTCTCATTCCCGGACCTCATGGCGAGCGTCCGTTTGGTTCGCCTAGCATAATGGGAGAGAGGAGATGCGGAGGAGGAGGGGATGGAGGTCGGGCGGTGGAAGGAAGAGGGGGGAGAAGAGGACGACCGAGCAAAGGGAGAGGGGCAGGGCGAGGGGGGAGGGGGGTCGGGCGAGGGGCAGAGGGAGAAAGAGTGGCACTAGGAGTTGCAGGAGGGGCAGGAGTGGGAGGGGTAACGGGAGGGGTTGGAGGGGTAACAGGAGGGTTTGGAGGGGTTGGAGGGAGCCGAGGGTGTGGTGTTCCCGTGTGCAGGAGTGAGGAGGTACAGGGGTCAACTTGGATCGTTGATAATAGGCTTGAGGGGGACAGTGCATGTGATCGGCAAGAGGGGAGCAGCGGCAGCGAGGGGGAGGCAGTGGTGTGTCATGGGTGGGACATGATGCCAGCTGTAACGGGCAATTCGCTTCCGGTTTCAACCAGTGCTGGCGATTCCGCACACCAACGGCAGCAGCAGCAGCAGCAGCAGCAGCAGCAGCCGTTTAAGCCGGCGTGGAAGCAGCGCGGTGCAGAGCGGTGCAGCACGTTGAGCATGGAGTGCGGGCTGAGCATGGATGGTAGCAGCATGTTCAGTCCACACGGGGGCATGCTGAGTCCCTGTGAGAGCATAGACAGCCCGGGGGGAGTCCTTGCCACACCCGTGGGTCTCACAGGGGCAGCTGCAGCTGCTGCTGCTGCTGCTTCTGACCCTGCCTTGTTCCTGAGGTTCCGCAGCGATTCGCGGGAACAGCAGCAGGGGTTTCTCACTCAGGCGCCTCAGCAGGCGATCCTGCCTGCTGCGCCCCCCGTTGGAGGGACTGTTGGCCTCTACGCACGGGCGCATGCAGCTGCTGCTGCTGCTGCTGCTGCTTCTTCCCCTGCTTCCTCCCCTGCTGCTGCGCTTGGGTTGGCATCCTCCTCAGCAGCAGGCAGTGCAGCCTCCTCTCCCACGGTAGCAAGCCCTGCACTGAGCCCCGCGGCCTTCTCTCCCACTACCGGCACCCCCAGCCCGGCAGGAGAGAGGCGGCACGGGGGGCACAAGGGAGGGTTCAAGGGCGACCTGTGGTCCAGACGAAAAGGGCCTGCAGTGCCCCACTCCCGCCTCTCCCTCCCTGCTGCCTCCTCCCCCTCTGCTGCTGCTGCTGCTTGTGCCAACGATGGTGCTTACCCGGCTAATGCCAGTGCCTCTCGCACTGCCAGCAACAGCAGTGCTGGCAGCGATGCTGCTGCTAGAGTTGCCACCAGCAGCAGCGGTGACCTGACACCCACCCCTCCCGCCAGCACTGGTGGCTTCACACCCACCCATCCCTTGACTCCCACGCCTCCCTCCCGTCCGCTCAAGGACCCCTCCGCCCACTCCCCATCCCCCCTGCGCTCCCCTCTGCTGGGACGGAGACGAGGGTACAAAGAGAAGAAGCACTCTCCGGGTAGCAAGCAGCAGCAGCAGCAGCAGCAGCACGCAGTGCTGGCGTCGGCACCATCAGCTGGGGCAGCAGGTGAGTGTGCCCCAGCGTTGACCCCCCGGTCAGGGTTTGGTGCTGTGCCCCCAGGCACGCCCCCTTCAGAGGCCGCTCAGAACCCTGCTGTGACTCCCCGCTCGTTCCTCTCCCGGCAGTTCCCAGGAGGGTCGGGCTTTGGTGCGGTCCCAGGCACGCCTCCCCCCCACTCGCCCCGCCTATTCCCCCTGTCGCCGCGGAACTTCTTCAGAAAACACAAGTCGGAGGGGGGAGCGGAGAGGAGAGACGGGGGAGAGCGGGTTGAGGCGGGAGAGGGAGGAGAAGGGAGAGAAGGGAGAGAGGGAAGAGAAGGGAGAGAGGGGAGAGAAGGGAGAGAGGGGAGAGAAGGGAGAGAGGGGAGAGAAGGCACGGAAGGGAGAGAAGGGAGGGAGGGGTGTGAGCATCAACTGCAACACTCTAGGCTGATGGTGGTAGAAGGGGGGGCGTTTCTAGAAGCAGGTGGTGTGGTTGGTCGAGACAGAGAGGGAGGGGCTTGTGCTGTTTCTCAAGCTGGTTCTGGTCCCCAAGCTGGTTCTGGTCCCCAAGCTGGTTCTGGTCCCCAAGCTGGTTCTGCCCCTCGGTTGCCGACTAGCTGGTCTGACACGCAGTGTGATTTTGAGAGAACTCCACACCAATCTCCCATGGGGTCTAAGATGCAGCAGCAGCAGCAGCAGATGCAGTGGGGTGACAGCAGCACGGGGGATCTTGGAGATGGAATGGTGGAGGGGGGAGGAGCAGGAGGAACGGGATGGGCGGCGGTAGAAGCAGCAGCAGGGGCAGCAGCAGCAGCAGCAGCGGCAACAGCAACAGGAGGGCGGCCAAAGTCGAGTGGGGGGTGGCGGAGGGGGTGGTCTGGGCCTCATGGGGTGGCAGGGGTGGGTAAGGGCATGCACCTGCTGAGTCCACACGGGGGCGATGCACACAGGCCAGGGCATTGGGACAGCGCCGCAGCTGCCGCTGCCGCCGCCGCTGCCACTGCTGCTTCTGGGGCTGCTGCTGCTGCTGGTGCTGCTGCTGGTGCTGCTGCTGGTGCTGCTAGCGATAATACCACTGCTGCCTGTGGTGCCAATCCAGGTGGTTCGGCCAGCAGGAGCGGCCGAACGAAGCTAGGAGCAGCAGGGTCGGGGCTGGCAGCAGCAATGAAAACATCAGTGAAAACATCAATGAAGGTACTCGCCCCCCTTGCACCCACCAAGACCTGGGCGTCAGGCATGGGCGATATGTTTGGGGCCAAGTCCCCCCGTGCCCTCCTCTCCCCACACTCTCTCCTCTCCCCCCGCGGGTTTCTCTCCCCCGGTGGTTTCCGCTCCCCTCGCCCCTCTGGACAAGGGGAGAGGGCGGATGGGGGAAAAGGGGGGGGTGAGGGGGACAGGGGATATGGGGGAGGCAGTGTGAATACCCCAGGCAGGGGAGAGGGGGCAGGCAGGGTGGATTTCTTAAGCGGCGAAGAGGGGAAAGGAGGGAGAGAGGAGGGAAGAGAGGAGGACGGGGAGGAGCGGCGATTCCCGGCCGAACGGGCGTCTCTCGACTTGCCTGTCAAATCCCCAAGGGCATTTCGGAAACTAACCCGGAGGTCGAGTGGGTTTCAGCTGCCGACGCGGACGGCAGTAGCAGCAGCCATGACCCTCCCCTCGTCCCTCTCCATGAAAGAGCGGCGCTCCGAATCATCAGCAGCACCAGCTATGTTCTCCCTCCCTCCCTCCGCTTCTCTCTCCTCTGCCTCCCCTTCCTCTGCAAGGCCTCCGTGGGGCTCCGGGTCGATGCAGGAACGGCCTCTGCACCTGCAGCAGCAGCAGCAGCGCCTGGTGCAGGCTCGGCAGCAGGAGGTTCGGCAGCCGGAGGCTCAGCAGTTGGAGGCTCAGCAGTCGGGCGTCTCCCAGGCTCCGCTGGAGGGTCGGATGCGGCAGGTCCGGAAGGGGAAGGTGCAGCTTCCTCAGGCTATTTCAGCAGATCAGTATCAGCAGCACGATGGGAGGGAGTTCTTTCAGGAACAGCTATCGCTGCAGCAACAGCACCTTCAGCAGCAGCAGCAGCAACCACAGGAACAGGTGCAGCAGCAGCAGCAGCAACAACAGCAGGAGAAGCAGCAGTGGGCTCCCTTAGAGAAGGCGAGCAGTGCGAGTGCAGCTCTGGCGGCATGGGCCAAGCGGTCAAAGCAAGGAGGGCAGAGGCACGGGCAGGCACGCAGAGAGGGGGTCACTGGTGGTGGTGGTGGCGGCGGAGCAGGTGGGTGGCATGGTGTGGCTCGTAGTGTATCGGTGGATGTGGTGACACACGGCATGGCCTCCCAGGCAGCAGAGCTTGGGGGAAACTCTGGAGTAGGAGGCGGAGGGGAAGGGGGAGGAAGAGGGGAAGGAGGAGGAGTAGCAGGAGGAGGAGCAGGAAAAGGAGTGGGAAGGGTGAGAAGACATGCGGGGGGTGTTGTGAGTGCGAGTGGCAGTGGTGAGAGAGCGAGAGCGCCTACACAAGAGAGACCTCGGGTGCCCCTAGCAAGGTCTGAGTCGGAGTCGATTCCTAGGTCGTCCAGTTTCAACAGCCACCACCAGCCACTGCAGCCGCAGCAGCTGCAGGCATCCCAGTCAACAGCAGCGGCACTGCAGCAGCAGCAACAGGTACAGGGAACGCAACTGACTGATTACTCGAGGTCAGTTACCCGGTCGTCCAGTTTCAACAGCCACCACCAGCCACTGCAGCTGCAGCAGCAACAGGTGCTGCAGGGAATGCAAGCATTGGACCACTCAAGGTTGGTTGCCCGGTCGTCCAGTTTCAACGACCACCACCCGCCGCTGCAGCCGCAACAGCAGGTGCAGGGAGCGCAGCCGTTTGAGCATTCAAGGTTGGTTCTCCGGTCATCCAGTTTCAACAGCCACCACCAACCGCTGCAGCCGCAGCAGGTGCAGGGATCCCAGTCAATAGCAGCGACACAGCAGCAGCAGCAAGGCCAGGGGCAGGGAGCGTACTCATCCGAACACTCAAGGCTGGTTCCTCGGTCGTCCAGTTTCAACAGCCATCACCAGCCACTGCCACCATATCACCCGCCGTCACAGCCACCAACAGCAGCAGGACCAGCAACACCACCCGCATTATCACCTCTGCAAAAGCAGCAGCAGCAACACTCAGGTGACAACGTCAGGTCCTGGGGCCATGTCCCGACTGCCGCTTCAGGCTCGAGGCCCGGCTCGGGCCAAGGCTCCAGGCCTGGGTCGAGGCCCAGTTCCAGGCCCGGATCCAGACCTGGGTCGTCCCACGGGATTGGGAGAAGTCAGTCTGGTTCAGTACTGAGCCAAGATGCTTCCTTGGCTGCTGCTGGTGCTGCTGCTACTGCCTTGACGGAAGGAATACCAAGTGAGGGTAGAGGGGGGTCTGGTGTAAGATTAGGGGTAGGAGCGGTTGGTTTACCTAGGAGGAAGAGTACTAGGTAGTAGGGGCATATTTGTTATGTAATGCTGGAGGGAGGAGTTGGTGTGTTTTGGCTGAAATATGCTGGTATGGGCTGCATAGAAGAATCGTGCTGCGCAATTGTCTTGCTGGAAAGGTAGTGTAGGCCAAAAGGTAGTGCAGTGCAATGCTGTGTAATGTAGAAAAGGAATCCTTCAATCTACCGCCGGATTTCTGCCTCTGCACTAAATGCAGGCCTGGGAAGTGGAGTGTCAATGTCCTGTAGTGTTTCCTGGTTATGGTACAGTTTGGGAAGGCAAATACCCTAGCTGACCATAATTTATAATGTTGGAAAAAAATATGAGCAGTATATATAAGGGAGCCCCTTCCCACCAATTGCAAGAGACTACTTGTAAGGAGATCGTTGTGACATCAGACCCAGTAGAGACAACGCCCCCCTTTGGTGCGAGCTAGGTGAGAGAGGAGTATGAGAGCAATTATTCTCCACGAGCATCCATCTTGGACACTACCGGTACCATAATACGGTACCGGTAGTGTGAATATACCTACTAGCAGTTGGATAGTTTCAATGTTGTTGATACGGGCTTGCACTTGTTGATTAGCTGTGGGTCACACGAGCAGGTAACAGCAGCATGTAGTCTGTTGCTGCAAGAATGGGAGGAACCCGTTAGTCAACACGCATTAGTAGATCGACGGTTGCAGATCAGCTCGTAGACCGACGGTTGCAGATCAGCTCATAGACCGACGGTTGCAGATCAGCTTTAGAAGATCGTCGGTTTCCGATCACTGATCAGGCTTAGTAGAGATCGACGGACGATACCGTAACACGCCAGCTGCTGCCGCACGTTCCGCAACACACCCCGTCCGCACTAAGTTCAGACTGCAATAGAACTCTCACCCCAAACACTGTTTCAACACGAAGGTGGGAGGGAACAGAGAGCGTGGCGGTATACCACCACTCCACCAGCCTCACCAGTAATTCAGGTCTTGGGCTTTAAAAAGTAACGGCAGCACAGTGAGCAGCGGGTTTAGGTTTTAGTATTGGATTTACTGATCATGATCTTGCTGACGCGACTGATACGCGGGATGAGCTGTGGCGGGGATGCGGCCACGACCCTGCTGACGTGGCCTCCTCGAACCACACCTCCAGGCGCTGCGCGACCAGCGACACAGGAGAAATGGGAGCTCCGCCTTCGTCGTGCGCGCGTCCGCGCGAGTCGCCCGCCAGGCTGAGAGGACGGATAGACGTGTAGTACCGCGGCGAGACCGCGCGGCATTGAACCCGCGCCACGTCAGCACCCAACGGGTTTACGATCGAAGCGGAGTCATTATTCGGAGCGCGTCCGGCGGAGTGCGCTTCGTGAGAGCCATAGCGTGGCGCGCATGTTGCAGCGGCCGTAGGCCGCGAGTAGTACTGCTGATGACGCCGCGGATTAAGCCCGTGGTGATCGTGGCCGTTGGTTGACGGCCCCGCGCCGCCCTCGCGCGGCGTGATCATCACAGCGCTTCGCCCGGCCGGCCTCTGTAGTACTAGCTGATGATTCGCCTGTCGCGACCGCGACCGTGGCCGCTGTTCCTCCTCTCCTTCCGTCTTGATTTGCCGCGACCGCGGCCGCTGTTCCTCTTCTCCTTCCGTCATGATCTGCCGCGACTGCGGGTGCTGTTCGCGATATCCCATCTCCTGGGCGGCGATGCGAAATCGCTGCTGCTGCTGCGCGTGGGCCTCGCGGCAGAGATTGGATCGCGGGCAGCTGTACTCGGACCGCGGGCAGTTAGAAGCGTGCGCAGCAGCGCGAGCGGTCTGCGGAGAGCGGTTTCGGAGCGGGGGGGCTGCAGGCGGTCGCGACGACGGCGAGGAACTCGGCGGGGAGAAGGGTAGCGGCGAGGTCGGGGCGGAAGGCGCGAAGTGGGCGGAGGGGGAGATGTGGGCGGAGGGGGAGATGTGGGCGGAGGGGGAGATGTGGGCGGAGCGGGAGAAATGGGCTAAGGGCGAGAAGTGGGCGGAGGGCGAGAAATGGGCGGAGGGCGAAAATGGCGCGGAAGGAGAGAAAGGGGACAGGGGAGACAGGCGGCGTTTGAACTCACAGCTTCGGCCAACATGGTGCCTGCTTTCATTAGCCCCGCTACGGTTTTCCCCACTGCCCGCAGCAGCTGCTGCTTCCTTTCCACTGCCTGCCGCCCAACCGCTGCTCGCAACCGCGCCGCCAGCTGTAGCATTTTTCCGCGCCGCTGCTGCCGCTGCTGCTGCTGCTGCCGGGGGCGAGTACGGCTGGCCTCGGGAGTCCGCCAGCGACTGCAGGCTGCGCTGCGTGCGCGGGGAAGGATGCGCGGGCTTGGGATATGCGGGCGGGGACGGGACCTCCGCGCAAAACAGACGGCCGACCCCGTCTTCTCCTCTCAGCGGAAGCGTTCTCGCCCGCCGAATGACCCTCGGGCCTGTCGCGGCGGCTTCCCCCAGGGAGAACGCGCCGCCCGCCACTGCGTCATTGCCGCCGCCACCAGGCGACGCCGGGCGCGCCGCACTCCGCGGACTGCTTCGGCGCCGCGTGATCATCCTCAGGCCGCTGGGTGCCACAGCGCACCTAGTCGGACTCGGCTGACTGTCGCGGAAAGAATACTCCTCCGCCGCCCCCGCCGCCCGCCTCGCCGCCGCCGCCGCCGCCGCCGCGGAATGCGCCGGGGATAGGTTCCCGCTTAGTAATGTGTCTCGGCGGTACTCTGGCGGCCGCGGGATCCGGTGCGCCCATGGGGAAACGGAGGGCGAGGATGGGGAGACTTCCGAGGACTGTGGTGATTCTACTGAGAGCGCTGTTGGTCGTTCAAATTTCTCAAGTGCCAGCTGGACAGATCGGCGACTTGTTGTAGTAGTACCGCTAAAGGAGCGACTCCCCATGGTTGTTAAGCCTCGTTCCACGCGCCTCGCGTACACCTGCGCCGCGGCTGCCGTTGCCGCCGCCGTCGCCGCCGCCATCGCCGTCGAGGAGACGCCGCTGTGGCGCGGTTGTACTGGAACTGGCGGGTTCTGCGTTCTTGACGGCGGCTGATGCGGCAGACGGTGCGGCGGCTTATGCGGCGGCGAGCCTCCCAAACTCCTACTAGTACTATTCCTGTGCCTGATGCCATCCGAGTCGGGCCCGGCGATTGTCGCCGATTTGACGAATAGGTGCGGGCGACGATCCTTGTTGAAGCCACCATTGTCGCTGGCGGCAGCGGCTGCGGCGGCTGTGGCGGCTGTGGCGGCTGTGGCGGCGCAGATGGGTCGTCGATCAGAGCAGTACTGAGCGCCTCTTCGCGCCGCGTCGTTCGCGGCGCGATGGCTTACAGAATCGCTGCTACTGCGGCGAGGGCTGGGCGCGAGGTCGTCGCTTTCCGCCGCGACGCCGTCCGCCGCGAATGTTTCCAGTTCGACCAGGCGGCGGCGATTTCCGGCGGAGACCGCGCTGATGCTCCGCGCGACGTCATTCCCACAATCCGCCACGGCGACATTACCATATTGCGGCGCGTTTTCACAATCCGGGGGTGCGACTTCATGACAAGCTGACGGTGACATGGCGGCGGAGCTTGAAGGGATTGCAACGCGGAGATGCAAAAAGCGGGGACCGCCGGACTCCGGACCGGCTGCGCGTTTTGGTTCCTGGTGCGGTAAAAGTAGCTTCCGTGGCGCGCAGACTTGCGGAGGCTGGACTTGCGAGTGCTCTAGTGATGGCTTGGCTACAGTTTGAGGTAGCAGTGTTGCCGCGGCTCGGATAGGTAGCTCCACGCGGGGAAGTGGTGACACCCGACCGCGCCGCGCGAGCAATGGCGTGCTGCTGCTGCTTCGCGGTGCGACATTATCCGCGCTGCCGTTGGTGGTGGTAAGACCGCTGTTCGAAGTTTCCGATATGCTGTTGCTGCTAGTGCTCCCGCAAGAGCTGTTGAGGAAATCAAGGGCACTGCTGGTGCTGCTGCTGCTAAGTGAAGGATTTGTGGTGGTTAGCATGCCGGGCTATGCGCTCGTGGGTTTGCAAGGAGACCGTTGGGAGGGAGGGAGGGCTATCTGAGGTGAGGTGTGTGGCAAAATTCAGTAGTATTGCACAGGCTGTGACTGCAAGCTTTCCGCGAGGCTGTCAGCAGTTTCTATGCTGTGCTGTATTTCAAACTAAGTCAGTGAGAAAGGGCTTTGAAGTTCACTCTCACCCCAACGAAGTTCCGGCAGCCGAGTCCAAAACTGCGCAGGATGGTGCCGCCAACGAAACTAGCTAGGCTGACGTGAGGGAGTGGTTTTTGGAATCATGGTCCAACGCATACTGTACGGAATTTTTTGTACACGTGTCGTGGGACAGATTAGGAAATTGGAGGGCTCACATCATCTGCCATGCTATGCAATGGAGTGTGTTGGTGAGCGAGGCTGATTTAGTAAGGTAATTTTTACTAATGCCCTGAACATTCCCGGCTAGGTTCAGAGCACCTTTACCATTCCAAGTTCTACATGTGGTTGGAGCCCGTGACGGTACAGGGTTTCTGTTGGCCCTTCCCCGGAGTCGATAAGTGTTCATTGCGATTTGGGCCCTCCCCTGTACCTAAGTGTCATTTCGGTTTGCATACCCCCCCTCCTCCACACCTGTTCCCATGCCCTCTCCTCCTCCCACTCATCGTATGCACGAGAGATTGGCGGGCAGAATCTAAGTAGTGGTTAAGTCAACTTGCGAGAGCAGATCCTCGTTCCCTTGGCAGACCTGTGTACTCTGACTACATTAGGCCAACAGCTGAACTTGGAAATATATCGCCTAAGTGCACGGTCTTCCAGAGCCCGAATTTGAGATTCTGGCTTCGGGTGCTCCCGTGACCGCTAAGGGTAGGAAAAGGTCAATTACGCAAAAATACAGGCAAGATTTGGAGCAGGGCTTCAAGATTTGTTCCCGGACACATCGACAGGCCTGATGAGGTGGATTGTAAATCGTTCGTGATCAACAAGCAGCTCGGATTGGCACGACACGATGGTGGTGGCGAGTCATCGATTTTGGCGCTGTTCTTTTGGCCAAAAATTGGTCTTCGCGGATTCTTCCATCCGCACCAGTGGTGCGTCGGTTCAGGTTGGGCATTGTCCGAAGCTGGGCGCATCAAGAAAACCGAGAAACCTGCAGAACAGCACTTTTGTGACACTGTACCAGAACCGCCCGTTTGTTCCACACCATTTCCTCTTCAGGCAAATGGTCCGCACCACGGGTTCTACCTCTCGAGGTGGAATCACCTCCGCACCACTGGTGCGGGGCAGAAACCATCAGCCCAATTTTTTGCTCGTGGTAGGCTTGAACGCCCAACACTTGACCGCGATCAAATTTCAAGAAAATCTTCTCACGTTCTTGCTGCTCGATACTCATATCTCAGGCTGATCAAGAAATCCTTATCAGGTTACAGGTTCTCATTTCACCAGACCGTGTTCAAAAGCGCAGACCCGAGTTGGCTGAGCTGTTCAATCGAGAAGTTTACCTCGGTTATAACTGAACCTTCATGTGTTTCCAAGTCAACCAAAAGGCACCTGAAGTTAATACGAAATTTACCAAACCTCCAACGGTGCGGCGATGAGAACTCCAACAGAACAGCGCCTTTGAAGGACAAACCGGACAGCGCAGGCAAATGGGCGACCTAGCTGGCAGCCACGATTTCAATCTCGGCAGCAGAACTCCGCAGCGCTGAGTCACAGCGTTGCGTGATCGTAGATTTTCGCCCGTCCCAAACGGACTCGGTGAGACGTTGAAGAAGTAGGAGGCAAGTCAGGAAATGCCTCGTTGGCGACGAAACGTGCGAACGAAGGACGACGGAACTTGCCGTCCCCGCAAATGTTCGTTGTTGTTACAGGACAACCTGCAGCCGAGGTCTACGGACGTGGGATGAAAATGGAAAGAACCAAATCGGATTCGTCGAAAATATCGAAGGGAAAAGAAAAGTCAGATCGTTACTGTGCTGAGTTGGAAAGTGAAGCGTGTGGTGGAATCGCCAGTGTATGTACAGTGACTGCCCTTGACGACCGAGCGAGCACTATTCCAGCGTAATTTCCGTTGACTGGTCAGCACAAGTCGCCGCTGCTCCTCACTGTGGCGTGCACAATCAGAAAGGTGATGACTCCCTCATTACAAATAGGACGTCCAATAAATATGTGATATTGTGCATGACTGTTACGGGTGCAATGAATCGAAGTAGCGAGAATTGCACTAAGGTGTCAAACGAGTACAAAGATGTGAGCGAAGGCATGAGCGAACATTTATATGCGAAGCATGCAAACGGTAACGCGGTGCGTGCGAGCTAGCCAGTGCTATGCTGGCAGCGAGGCTCGGGCTAGTCCCGAAGCGTAGGCCGACACGGCCGGGCCAGCAGTGCGAGGTTTGGTGAAACAGTGCGCGCGAAGTCGGCGAAGTTCCGTTAGCAGTAACGGGCGAACAACGGCTGTTGCTGTACGCGATGTAGTCGGGCTCTGTAAGGAATGCCGAGAAAATTCCTTACACTACCCCCCCCCCCCCCCCCCCTCAAGAAGCCCCCTCCGCTACGCGAGTGCGTGTATGTCGCGGAATCCCCGGCTCCTCAGGTACACTTGCAGGGCAGGGTGGTTTTCAATGTTGGCCAGGGGCACCCAGCTATCCTCAGTTGGCGTGCGGTCCTTCCAGCGAACGAGGAATTCAATCCTACTGATTCCCGTGGGGTGTCGAATCCGATGGCTCATGATTTTTTCGGGCTCGATGATCGGCTCTGATGCAGGGCGAGTCATGGATGGCGGGCGGTGGCGAGGCAATTGGCTTGTGGTTAGGATGTATGGGCGAAGCAAGCTGACGTGGAACGAAGGGCTGATGTACCAGTCGGTCGGTAACAGTAGGTGCGCGGTTACTGGCGTGATCATGTGGCTGATTTGGAATGGGCCACAGTAGCGCGGTCGCAGTTTTGGTACGTCGGGCAGTCGCAGGTTTTGCGTGTCGAGCAGTACGTAATCCCCTGACTGGTAGGTGACGGGTCGGCGGTGGCGGTCGGCGTTGCGCTTAGCGATGACATTTGCTTTTTTAATTGCTTCTGCAGCTCTGGTGCGGGCAACTTGCAGAATTTCGGCGAATTGTTGTGCACGTGGTGTCGGATTGTCCGGACTCGGCGTCATGGGCACTGTAGGATTTTGCCCGTAGTTCAGGTAGAAGGGGGACTGCTGCGTCGTCGCTGACGTGGCGTTGTTGTACGCGAACTCGATCAGCGGCAGCTGCTGTTCCCAAGTCGTGGGGTCGTCGCACGTGGCACGAATCAACTGCTCCATCGTCTGATTCGTCCGCTCCGTTTGGCCGTCGGTCTCGGGGTGGTACGACGAACTGAACTGTAGCCTGGTCCCGAACTGCTCCCAGAGGTTTTTCCAGAAGTTGCTGGTAAACTTCGTGTCCCTGTCGCTGATAATCGCTGCTGGTATCCCGTGCAGGCGAACAACGGCTGCGATGGACAGACGAGCGGTCTCCTCGGCTGAGATCGACTTTTTGCACGCAGCGAAGTGTGCCATCTTCGTCAGCCTGTCAACGACGACCATCACCGCGTCGTTACCCCCAGGGTTCGAAGGTAACCCTGTGACGAAGTCCATGGTAACCTGCTGCCAGGCGCGCTCGGGCGGTGGTATCGGCTGCAATTGACCCGCCTTCCGCTTCCTCGAGCTCTTCATCACCTGACACGTGGGGCACGAGCCCACGTGCTGCTGTACGTCGATCAACAGCTCCGGCCAGTAATAATACCGCTGCAGTTGCTGTCG